GGATTCGAATTTTTCAGAGATTTCGTACACAATTTTTTTTTTGCTCCAAAATCATACTTAGCAAAATTAAGAGAGAAAAAAATGAATTTATAAATTGTACACAGCAAAAGTAAGGTAATGTTAAATTAAACTATGAAAAGCGAAGCAATTAAACACACACACACACACACACACACACACACACACACACACACACACACACACACACACACAGCACAACCTGCAGTCAAGAAAGCTTTAACTAACCTGAAGTCAACATAAATCCTGGAAACTAGTTGCTGCAATATTGGAAAATATAATTATCCGTGGAATTTACCTTATTTTTTGAAAAAATTTCAAATTGATTGTTATTGAATATGAAGAGAAAGAATTATAATTGTGCTCTAAGCTTAAGTTACCATTTTATATATATATATATATATGCTTATGGAGAAAGTCTGAACATGCAAATGTTAAATTATGGAAATCATGATTTCGCAGAAGGATTACAATAAAGGATTGTTTTAAACAAGTTTAACTATAGGATAAAGGATTAATAATTTGTTACTGTAAATAATTTTTAAGGAAAAAATTTCAAGTAATTTAGCATATTGTCATATTACGATTGATAAAAGTGCAGTCCTTCTGTGCGTTGAAAAAAGAAAAAGAATAAATTTCAATGATTTGTGATGAAAAACTTACCTCGAAAAGAGGATAAGTAACAGTAATATTAAATGCTTGAAAAGTTTCCATCAATTCTTTACTGTTAGGTAATCCAACAATTGCAGCAAAGGTATTCAGACGTACTGCATCTGCTAGTGATGTTTTTGTTTGACTTTGTAATAATTTCTCATTGAAATCTTCGTTGATAAATTCGGTTACTTTTTTGCAAATTAATATTTCAATCAATGAACGAATTTGCTCTGATATTCCTTGCTGAAGATTGTTTTAATTAGATTTCAAAAATACATTCATATAATTAACATAGACTTTAATTTCATACTTACGCTATGAGCAAGTAAAGTTTACTGAAATTATAGTAGACAAAAAGGATGCATTTTGAATCAACTTATAGTAAACCTGTAATCCTATAATTTAAAATGTTTATCATTTTCTTAAAACTTTTTTGACTCGGAACATAGCTTCTGTATTTATTCTGTAGCAAACGAAAATTATATAATTTGCAAATTTCTGAAAATGTTGCCAACCGTTATATATCAAAAATTTTGATGATATAATTAAATTAACAATTTTGTACTAACGAATGCATATACTAGCATAGATAATAAGAAAATGTTTTAAAATTAAAAGCGCAACAAAAATACCAACCACTTTTAATCTTTTACTATCATTAAAATAAATATGTATTTCTTAGGATTATAAATTTAGGAAAATATTATTTCTGAATATCTCAGAAGCAAAAAAAAAAACCATTCATTATAAGTCTTTAATAAAAATAAATATGTAAATTTGTTTCTTGTTTTTCATTTTTTTTTTAATTTTCAGAAATTTATTTTTAAAATGACCACCAAGACTTTTTGTGAAAAAAGTGGAATTTTAAGCAATAGAAAGAAAATTTTTCAATATGTCAAATCTCTCCGCAGTTTGTTAAAAATTCCAATGCTATATATCGACTACTTTCCTTCCTTTTTTTTCCAAAAGACAAAAAGAAAAAAAAAACTACTTGCTAAATTTTGTCAAATTGGCTAAATTCATTAAAGAAAGTTTAAATATTGTAAAGTTATTGGAAAATTATTGATCAAAAAAAAATTAAAATTATGAATGCCTTGAATAAATTCAGTGCTATTCCAGTCATACCACCGTTATAAATTTCAATATTCATTAATTGAATAGTCGTACGACAAAAAATTGTTGACACTCGTGCTGCTCCTGTTTCTGATCGTTCTAGTGCACTTTCTAATTGAAAATTAACACCATATGCTAAAACTTCAGCTTCACCTTCAAGTTTCATCGGTACCAGTATATTGACTTCCCCTGATAAACTTCCTATTAATCTGAAAGTTATCATTATCGATCATCTTCATGCAGAAAACTGCATTTCATTCACATCCAACTCATCATTAATGATCATTCAGAATGTTACATAATAATGAATTGTAATTGAAGTAAATAATATCATTAATTATTTATATTTAAACTTACCCCATATTTAAATTTTTCATAATCCAAGTAATTTTATTTGGTGCTGATGTAGAAATGGTATGTTGAGTTGCTTGTTTATATCGTGATACACGTATTCGTGATAGTAAAATATATCCTTGGCCATTGTTGATACGCTGTTTAACATTTGGTATTGACAAACGCGGTAATTGTTCATTTAATATTTCAGCTCCAATATTGTTTAAATATGCTACAGCTCGTGGTAAAATACGTATTCGTACAGCACTGGACGATGACAAATAGATCTTAA